GCTGGATCGAGAAATCGGGAAGTCATTAATGAATGGATGGTAACTGATGCCCCGCCGCGCTGAGATCACTGGGGGGAGATCTGTCAGTCTGCATGGTGCCCCCATCTGGCGGAAACTCACCCAGCCTCAGATTAAGCCCCGGGTAATATGCTGCCTTTTGAAAACAAACAAACACACAAACACAAACAAACAAACGCTTCAGTTCCTGATGACTCAAGTGGCATGTGTCTGGCCCTGATTGTGCAGACAGTTTCACAGGAAGTTGCCAACACAATGAACCATCTGAAGCCTCTAATGAAGCAATTATAGCATGTGGAACGAACAATCAATCAGCTGTAAACTCGGTGGTGAGGATTTACAGGCTCATGGTGGTTGCATCCAAGAGGAACTTACTGGAGATAACGCGGGCGCCTCTGCCCCTCCCACAACACACAGGAAGGAAAGCATTCCCGTAAAAAGACTCCCTCCACCCACCAATCTGTGCTGCTCTCGAAAGTGTCCTGGGATCACCAAGAAAATCGTTCCCATTTTGGAAAGTTGTGGTTAATAAAGACCTTCATCTCCCCAGGTAATGCATTCCCCATTTGATTCGTGAATCTGCAACAGCCGTGCTGAGGGAGACATCATTGCTATGGCTATGATTATAGTATTATTTTTTCCCATTGCTCCGTGGCGGTTCTGAACATGGATTACCTCTAATTCTTATAATCAGTCTGTGGAATAGGGTTTATTAGGCTTAATTTGTAATGAGGAAAGAGAGGCTCGAAGCTGAAATCATCTGTCCTGTGTCTCAGTGCTCTGAGGTGGCGCAGCTGGGTCCATCCGGGTCTGTCTGAGACCAGCCGCCACTTCCCAGGCCAGCACCTCCCATCGGGTCTGAACACCGGGAGGCCTCTGTTCAGCCATTCTTTTGAGTGTGATGTTAGGCGGTTCTTATTGAAATCTCCACCACCGTCCAAGGCTGACTTTCTAAAGCCACCCATGTGAGAGACGTAGGATGTTGGCCCTCTGTTCAGCCCTCTTCATTAGTCTCCCTTCCAGATTCTGCAACCTTGTCCCACGTGACACAGAGGGGGACCCGCTGCTGACCACCTTCCTCACAGCCACCCCTCCCTTCCCCGACCTCTTTGCTGGAGCGCACTTCCCAGTGTGGAAGCTAAAAAGATCAGAAACTCACTCCCCCAGAAGGGAACACTGAGACGGAATTTGGGAGCCGGGGGATGAGGGGATGGGGGAGGCGGAGATGTCTGTGTGGTACCTAGGAACCCAGCTGTGGCCTCCACTCCCTGCAGGTGAATTATTTAAACTCTCCAAGGCCTCAGTTTCTTCTCTAAAACGTGGTTGACCACACTTATCACAGGTGTGTTTTGAAAAGAAATTGGATCAAGCATGTAAGCACCCAGTGTAGAGCTGGACACAGAGAAGTTACATAATACATGGATGTTATTATTTTTATTACTATTACTGAAATGGGGCTGCTACTCACTGAGTTTTATTTCGTTTTAAGGTGTGAGGTTCATGCATGGTTTAGGCAAAGGGGCATTAACATCATCATCATGAAAGTATAGAATGCCACCCTAAAAACAGCAACAAGCAAGCAGTCCTCCTGTGTGTGCAGTCATTATTCACTGACTTCAGTTGCTGGGGTCAGGGCAGAACATCACCCCAACCACAGGGGCCAGCATTTCTCAGGAAAGGAAGCCCCTTCCCTTGGTAACAATGATTAGATACATTAATTGTTTAGTCCTTTCAAGAAGCTTACAGCCACTGCAAAAGACATAGGGTGAAACTTTTAAATTTCACAGGGTCAGCGTGATGGTTAACAGGTTGGAATAATGGCTTTAATGAAGGAACAAAGTTGGAAGGCTCTTGAGATGTGACTGGTTGGGTATTTAAATTTTTTTAAATTTATTTTTCAATGACAGTCAACATACAATATTCCTTTCAGGTGTACAACATAGTGGTTAGACATCGATATGCCTTATGAAGTGATCCCCAGGAAGTCTGGCACCCACCTGACAAGCTGAGTATTTATCAAAGCAAAGGGTCTCACACTTGGGCATGTTTGGAACCATCTGGACGGTGTAATAAGCAGGCAGTTGTATCAAACATCTTAACACACCTAAGGCAGGCCTGTTCTCTCACGGTGTTGCATGTGCCATTCTCGTCAGCAGCCCCCAACCCTCCTTTAGGTGAGAGACCGAAACTCAGATGTGGCTCCATCTGAATGAGCTTGTGTGACTCCTGGAGGGACTCACTGAGTCATACATATGCCTGAAACCAAAAGTAAAACTAGCTTAGACCAAAGGGAATTGCTGGACCTTAACGGTGGAGGAGACAGCTTTCATACAGAGTGAAGGAGGAGGGACAGAAAACAGCAGACAGGGACTGCAACCCCTGGACATAGCTGGGGGTTCTCTCCTCCCCCCGCCCCCCATTTCTCCAGAACTCCTTGTATATACCTCTGTTATATTTCCACTACATATGCTGGACTTTGCTTCCATGTTCCCCTCCCCCACCCCTCATCAAAGATCGTGGACTTCCTGCGTTCAGAAGCAATACCATATCTTCCTTGGTGTCCCCAGGACCCAACAACACAGGGCTCGGCCTGTGTATGGGAATTCAGTCATTGTGGAGTGAATAACAAGAAGATGCTTAAGACAAGAAAAGGCCAGAATAAAGAAGTAAATTTCATTTCTTCTGCCACTTGGAGATCCAACATCAAATAGTGTGGAGTATATTTACATAAAACCTTCCAGGATAGAGAAAAAAAAAGTTTACTTCTCATTTTACCCAGAATTCCCTTCAACAAATGCAACCAAACACCTGGGAACTGGATACCTGCCACTGTATCATCCGTTTGATGTCAGAGTGGAAACCCCAGTCCGAGTCCCTCGCCTGCAGTTATCCAGGTGGAGCACAGACAAGTTAATAGCAACAGCTCATCTTGGTGCTGAACCTGCCCCTGGAACCCAGAGAGAGGCATCCCTCCCTTTAGTCCTCTGTGGCAGGACAGATGGCACTTACAACCCAACCTAGCACCTGGGAAGTGTTTCACACGCTTCCAATTAAGACGCGTTTCCTCCACCGTGTCCGTCACTCCCACCTGCAGGACAAACAGGAGCCTCACCAGGAGCGCCTTCCATCTGATTGCTCCCTGGTCCATGGGGGCATCTCACTACAGTTCAACAAGGTTTCAGAGGAAGAACGTGGGAGTTGCACCTGAGCTGGAAACTTCCTGCGACGCTCATGGAGATCCCCACAAATACAGGGTGCCCCCCCCCAAATGTATATGCACACTCTGAATAATTATAAAGGCAGTGTTTATTAAAATACATTTCATTTGCAAAATTGAGCTGTCAGCTGTTACAGTGTGTATACATATTTTGGGACACTTTTGTTGTTAATCCTCACTCAAGGATCTTTCTTTCTTTCTTTTTTTAAATATATTTTATTGATTTTCTACAGAGAGGAAGGGAGAGGTATAGAGAGTTAGAAACATCAATGAGAGAGAAACATCGATCAGCTGCCTCCTGCACACCCTCTCCTGGTAATGTGCCCACAACCAAGGTACATGCCCTTGACCGGAATCGAACCTGGGACCCTTGAGTCCGCAGGCCGACGCTCTATCCACTGAACCAAACCGGTTAGGGCTCTTTTTTATTTATTTATTTATTTTTTTGAGAGAGAGAGAGAGTGGAAAGGAGAGAGGGAGAGAGGAAGAGAGAGAGAGAGACATCGATGGGAGAAAAACACATCTATCAGTTGCCTCTTGCACTCGCCCCAATAGGGGCCCAGGAATTGAACCTGCAAACCTTCAGTGATGCTCTAACTCAGCGGTTCTCAACCTCTGGGTCGTGACCCCTTTGGGGGTCGAACGACCCTTTCACAGGGGTCGCCTAAGACCATCAGAAAACACATATATAATTACATATTGTTTTTGTGATTAATCACTATGCTTTAATTATGTTCAATTTGTAACAATGAAATTGGGGGTCACCACAACATGAGGAACTGTATTAAAGGGCCGCGGCATTAGGAAGGTTGAGAACCACTGCTCTAACTACTAAGCACACTGGCCATGGCCCCAGCAAATATTCTTATTTTTTCATACATTGACAGTTGCTGTGAACCTATTAGGTCCCTTCAGGCTCTACCCTGGAGGAACTCAGTCTAGTGGGGCAGATAGATGAGTAAACAGCTAATTACGGTTCATTGTGAAAGGGCTGGAAGTGAAGACACTGAGGCACTGAGCCACTAATTTTTGAGAAGAAGCTGGGTGTGTCAGTCCACATTTACATAAAAATAGAAACTCACAATTTTATAGGGTGATACGGTTTTCAAAGCATTTTCACAGTTATCTGATTTTATCCCCCCACTGCCGTTATGTAGAAATTACTCCTCTTTTACAATTTAAGGGATTAAGGCTCAGTTAGGTTAAGAGATTTGCTCAAAGTGACCCAGAAATGGAAGAGCAGAACTCCAAACGAGGTTTTTGGATTCCAGAGTTTATTTTGAACTTATTCTCCACGGACCAGGGTTCTTACCTGCGAGCAAAACTTGATAAAATAGCAAAAACAAAAAATACCCCTGGTGAAGGCACTGAGCAGCCTTCTCTGGGCGTCACGTACCAGAGCTTACACACCTGAAACCACCAACAGGCCTCTGATGTCTCTTGGACGGCTGCCCTGGAGGCTTCTAGAAGCTCCATGGAATTGCCCCACCCAGTGGTGGGTCGATTTTCACGATTCTCAGATCCTTAACTTCTGGTGAAGTCTGAAGCCACTGCACTGATTGGCAGAGTCTCCATTGGGTCCCCTAAATCCAGGGAAGGCCGGGAGAGGCAAGTGCCTGCTGTTTTTAGTTTCTTTGGAGGAAGTTGGACTCAAATTGACAAACTTGGTGATTACCAAGCATGAGACGGCGGTTTGGAAGCCAGGTGGCAACACTTTACATTCCCTTTACCCTTACCTGTCAGTCGCGCAGCTGTCCCTGCTTTAAAAATAACGTTTATTCTGATTGGCTGTCTCTAGTAAAAATAACATTTATCCTGATTGGCTCCATTTCTAGCTCCCAAAGCCCCGTGGAACCCAGCCTGGACATCAGAACAGCCCCTAAGCTCCTTCCACATCGTGTGGCATAACCATGGCTTCCTCATCACAGTCATTCCAGAAAAAGCTGCTTAATGATTGAGCCAACCCATCCATTTAGGTGTGTGGTTCAGCCCTCTTGCCTGGACCACTGGGGCCAGGGAAGTGACTGTCACTTCTGACCACTGCCTGGGGGAGGAACAGGGTCCTCACTCGTCGGTGAAATGAGAAATGTCTCCCTCTGCCCACAGGAAGTGGAGCTGACTCGGCTGTGACGAGGGTTTGCGTGAGGACTCTGGTCAGTGACTCTCAAAGGGTGGGCTCCTGGACAGCAGCAACACCCTGAAACTTGTTAGAGGGGGAAATACTTGGGCCACCGCCCAGAACTGCTGAATCAGAAACGCTGGTGTTGGACGGCAGCACCGATGTGTAAACAAGCCTTCCAGGTGACTCGGAAGCATGCTAAAGCTGGGGACCACTGCTTTAGACCCGGGAGCAGCTTCTGACGTGGGTACCAAGCTTTTGTTCCTTTGTGGACTCCAGCATCTGTCTGTTTTCCTCCGAGGATCTGACTGGGAACTGGAGGAACTTCATTCGAAGCAGTAGGCCTATCCCAGATCATCCTTTTAGGTAAGTCTGCTCTTAAAAAGATAAGCTTCAAAGAAGCTTATGATAGGTGGGTACTTCAACAGTAATTATGACTAACCCTTGCACTACTTCAGATCCGTGATCTCATTCTGCCCACACTGTAGCCCTGGGAAGGAAGTTGTTTTCAAGATGAGGAAAAAGACTCAGGAAAGTTCATTCACAGCCCCAGATCACATGTCTAGGAGTGGCAGAGCTAGTGGCCTCAGGACTATGCCAGGTATATGGGCATAACTGGGGACAATCTAGGAGGACTTCTCCCACCATTGACCCATAATTATTGTATTACAAACACCTCAGCTGATCACCTCTCTCTGCTAAAGAAATGGGTCTCTTTGACTTGTGGAAATTCTCAGGAATGGTTCTTCCTTAAGGAGCCTCTCTTTATACAGTTTCACACACATCTCCCAAAAGCTCCATGGCTGTGTAACAAAGACGACAGGACAGATGAGTGTGTGAGCTAAGTGGTCCACCCAAGCGAGAAGGCACAGAGCATGGCCAGGGGGTCCCTCAAGCAGCTACCAAACCAGCCTCTCAGGTTTAGACACAAATGGAACCATTAACCTTCATGGGTTCTTGTGAAATGAGAGGCTATTTTTAAGATACTCCTAACTCCTCTCTTTACTTTTATCCCAGTATTTCTGATCCCAGCTAAATTTCCCCTCCCACCCAATCCCATCTCATTTTTGCTCTTTTACTAATCTCACCTGGATCTAAGGACTGTTCTTCAACTACATTCAGCCCCCCACCCCTCTTCTCTCCCTCTTCTTCTCCTCCTCTCTCTCCTCTCTTACCCAGGATAAATTCACTGCTCCTGACTATTGATTGCTCCTGAACTGTGATGGCTCCCAAATGAAAGTGCTTAACCATGCTCTGAAGAAGCTTCATTTCAGATCTATGCATTCACCTGCAAGCAGGGCTCTTAAGCCTTCCTGCCAAGGCCTCCTCCTTCCCTTACTCTGTTCCCACACATTGTTCCTTTCCTCTGGCCTCCTCCTTCTCCAGATCCCACTCATCATCAACAGATGATCTTGTATCCTAGGTCACAGAAAATAATGGCCACTAAACCGGAACTTCCTCAACTCCCTGACTCTACAACCTAACTGGTCTAAATCTTTACCATTGATACAGACTGAATGTGTCTCCCCAGCATTCACAGGTTGAACCCCAGCATGGTTGTATTTAGAGATAGGGCATACAAGGAAGTGATTGAAGTTAAATGAGGTCATAGGGTAGGGCACTGATGCATCGGGATTTGTGTCTGGTCTTTCTCTGGGCCCGGACACACTGAGGAAAGGCCATGTGAGGACACAGTGAGAAGTGAGCCTCTGCCAGCCAGGAAGAAAGCTCTCTACAGTCTTCTACTAGTGCCTTCTTTCCCTTAAGTCAGAACTGCATTGCAGGGCAGAGGCTGGGGGGTCGGGCTGGGTTGGAAGGTTGATGCATGAGCCTGGAATTGGCACAGAGGGAGTAAGGTGAGTTGAATATTTAATGGCATTAATTAAGATGTCTGATGAATTCATTTTATAATTTGGAGGGCCTGCCCTGAAGACTTGAAGTCTGTAAGCTACAACTTCCTTTTAGTTGACTACAGTTGTATAGCAAAGCACCACCAAACTTAGTGGGATTAAAACAGAAAACATATAGATTCATATAATTCTTCGTAATGGGCTGCACTCAACTGGGCAATTCATTCCACTGGTTTGACTGGAGGCCACTCATGTGGCTGCTTGTGTTGGTGGGCCAGTGGGGGCTGGGCTCAGTTGGGATTCTGGGATGGCCATGCCTCCTCTCTTTCCATATAGTAATCTCAAGATCTCTCTTTCAACATGGCTTGTCTGTAGGTTTTCCCCCACAATGGTGCCAGACTCCTAACATGGGGCTCAGAACTCTTAAAAGCACAAAAGTTGAAGCAAACAGGTCTTCTTAAGGCTTATGCCCTTTTAGGCTTACTCCTCTGTAGTCTGTTGGTTAAAGCATGTCACAGGGACTCAACAGAGTGTGGTTCCTTGAAGGCTACGGCGGTCACAGAATACTACAGGTGTTTGGCATCTATCAATCAACACAGGGGGGAGGGACTTGCCGATAGAACTGTCCACATCAGCTTCTGAGACTTTCTCTTGATAACCCTTAACATTTCTAACTCCATCTTGTGGGTCATATATCTGTTGAGATGTAACAGAGCCCTACTCTTGTTGGTGCTGCTCTCTCTTTCAGGTGACTTTGCATATTTTTTTAGAGTTCTCGCCCTTCCTGTGGCTTAGCCTCCCATGCCTGGGTTTCATAACCAGAACAGATTTGAGCTCTACCTGTTTTCAGTGGTATTTAGAAGGCTACAGGTATCTGGCAAACAAGCATAAGATTTTGTGTTAACCCAGGCCTTTTCCATATCCCACACACACATGCCTCCACCTTTATACTAGACCAGCCGTGGGCAAACTATGGCCTGCGGGCCGGATCCGGCCCATTTGAAATGAATAAAACTAAAAAAAAAAAAAAAAAAAGACCATACCCTTTTATGTAATGATGTTTACTTTGAATTTATATTAGTTCACACAAACACTCCATCCATGCTTTTGTTCCGGCCCTCCAGTCCAGTTTAAGAACCCATTGTGGCCCTCAAGTCAAAAAGTTTGCCCACCCCTCTACTAGACCCTGGGAACCTTCTGTCTTTCCGGCCACAGTTAGGGCAGTCTAAGCTCTTTGCCTCAAGGAAGGCAGGCTACAGCCAAACAAAAGAGAACAAAGGCATGAATTCTCAATCTTGAGTTTCAAAAGAGCCTCTTAAAGTCCTGGCAAAAAACAAACAAACAAACAAACAAAAACACACAAAAACCCAGGTTGATAGAAAAAAGTTTTTGTTTCAAAAGCATGGCTTTTCCTGTGCCAGAAGCCAGGTGCCATGCTGTTTACAGTAGGCTTGGGGAGATTGCAGGAAAATATATTAAAAATACTTGAAATATAAAGAAATATACAAAGTTTAAAAATATATTAAAAGAGTTTTAAACGGTTGGTCTAGTTCTGCTGATCCTGAGGAGACTCCAGGGGCTGAGCTGGGGGGCTGATGGGAGAGGGTCCCAGGGAAGCAAGAGTTGCAGTGAGTGTTCCTCAGAAGGGACCCTGAACGTGACTCAGCTTCACAAATGTTGCAGGTTGGGTGCTCCGTGAGTAAACGGTGAGATGAAGTTTGGGTGCAAAATGCTGATGAAGAATTAACACCTAAGAAAGGAAGGGAAAGAAAGCAGGGTTGGCTGAGGGAGGAGATGGATCGGGATGCAAGCCTGACAGAGCCTGGGCCAGTAGGACACTGGAGTAAATATTACCACCAGAGTTGTCCTGTGTTGGTTGGAATGGCTAGACATTTACCTAACTCAGTTATCAGATACACGCAGCTCTGGGAAGGGCAAGGTGACTTTCTGCATCTGGGAGGAGCTGACAGCTGGAGACCATCTGCCGACTGCACTTGCTCCCGGCAGCTGGGCACAAGGCCTTCTGTGAAAAGGGATCTGGGTGGCTCTGTGGCTCCGTGTCTACCACACTAATCCTCTCCGCACCGGTAAGCTTAATCCTGGGCCAGGAGATGACAGAGCACGTGGATAGGTTTGGAAAGCTTTCAGAAAGGACCTGTACAGAACTTTCCAAGTGCGACCCAAGGGAGGCAGCACGGTGGACTAGAGAGGAAATGGCAGCAGGGTCCATGGAGAGTCCATGATAAATCGTTCTGTTGTGCGTCGCCCCAGACTGTCATGGAAGAGTGTCTGGAACCTTCCTGTGTCCAGCAATGGTTGATAGAGGGTCAGGCATGGATTATTTGGATCAATTGACACTTGGAATTGATGGTGGGGTGGGGTCCATCTTACCTGGTAAAAGTGGAGTTAACCAAAGACCACAAAAAAACAAAGTTCTTAGATTTTAGCAAGGACAGATGACAGCTGTAAACCAGCTCCTGTAAAGGCCTTCCCCACCCCCACTACCTCCATCAGTTTAGATAAATCTCAGGTGGTGAGCAGAAGGAAGGCATAGAGAAAATCCACATTGGTTGAGTTTAAACTTGAGGAGACAGAAAACAAACCTGAAGTGATTGAGTGTATCCAGAATTAAATAGATTGAATTTTCTGTCACCAGACAACATGGTGGTTCCAGACAAATACAAAGTTTAATTATGAGAAAAAATATTTTTAAAGTTATACCTTTGGCCGAAACCGGTTTGGCTCAGTGGATAGAGCGTCGGCCTGCGGACTGAGAGGTCCCAGGTTCGATTCCGGTCAAGGGCATGTACCTGGGTTGTGGGCATATCCCCAGTAGGAGATGTGCAGGAGGCAGCTGATCGATGATTCTCTCTCATCGATGTTTCTAACTCTCTATCTCTCTCCCTTCCTCTGTAAAAAAATCAATAAAATATATTTTTAAAAAAATATATATTAAAAAAAAAAGTTATACCTTTGGTTCACTTGAGTCATAGATTGGATTAGTTTTATAATCAGAAAACAAGTCAACGCATAATAAATGCGCTGCTGCCACTCAGAAACACACCTACACCCTGCACCTTTTCTCAGGAAGAGCATTTCGCCTAGGTTGGGCCTTAAAAATATTAATGTGTTTATTTAATTGGGAATCTTAGAGACAGCATTTGCATGAACATCAACATCCCTCTTCTGCAGTGCAAATGAGCCACTCGTACTCGGAGCTCTCACCCAGCCTGCCTCTCACTCCTGATTGAACCTGTGCCTAATTACGTGTTGCTTCTTGAGTTCTGGAGTGTGTAATAGCGACGTTTATTTGCCACAGTTGACAGTGAGGACTAAGTCATTTTCCTCTTTTTTTTTTTTTTTCCTTTTTAAAGTGAAGGAGAGAGTCACTCCGCCTGTCATGCCACTAACAAGCGTGTTGATGGGGTTGTGTGCCTCTGGTTAGTGAGAGACGGGGCAGAAATCCAGACATCTCGGGCTGTGCTGTCAGAAGTCCTAGTGAGAGAGAGTTGCCAC